CAGTAGGGTGGGGCGACTGGGGTTGGGAGGATAGGGCTAGTGGTTTCCTACTTGGGTTGCATGTCATCAGGCGCTCAGTGAGGGTAAAGTAGTCCCTACTCCAGAGCCAAACCACTGAGTCTGACAGAGTCTCCAACTCTAGCTCCCACAGGAGGAACACACTTCAGGTTTTAGGTTCAGGTTGCACGCAGCCAGCTGTTTCCTCTGCTAGCCCAACTGGCAGAGCCACCATGGCTCAGGAGGACATATCAAAAAGTCTTACACTGAGGGTGGTGCCAGCTCAGCCCTCAGGGGTGGGGCGAAGCACTTCATTCCTGACCCAGACAACAGCCTCCTAGAGAGAATCACTCCAAATGTCCCAGCTCTGAGCAGCACACTCTTTCCCCTCCAAGAACTAAGTTCAGCCTGGCAGGACCACAAGGACTTGGGAGGGGTGATTCAAATAGTCTCTTGTTGTGGATGTTATTGGCATGTCTGTACAGTGGAGGCAGGCAGCTTCCCCTTTCCAAGATAGCACAGGCTGAGCTTACAGGAGAGATAGGAGCTCCCTCGCCTCATCCCTGTGCTATAGCCACACAACCCAGCAACTGCCTGTCTGATTCCCAGACAAAAGTCTTCCTGGGAAATGCTCTGAAAGTCCCAGCTCTGCATAGCACTATGGTTCCCCTGTGCTACTGAGCTCAGCAGGGTGGAGTCACACAGTGGCAGGGCAGGCCCAGTGATTCAATGGGTAGAAGAGGGCCAGCTGGCTGTGCACTGGAGGTAGGGAAGAATGGTCCCCTTACCAAAGCTCCAAAAAAAGAGCACCCTCAAAGGTGCCTCCTGGATGCAACCAGCAGGTCCCTCTGCAGGACCTAAGCACAGCAGATTGGTGTTATCAGTGGCTGAAGGACCAGGCAGTACACTCCCCAAGCTGGTGCTGTAACAACAGGAGTGCTCAATGCTGGGAAAGTGGTATCTGAGTTTCTAGCAATTTCCTTTCTCTCCCAGGTGGACTGAACTGCTACTGATTTTCTCCACCAGATGCTATGTGGGTTCCTATTCCTGTCTCTCTTGCCCTGGGTTTGGAATCCCTGCATGGGATTGAGATACCTTGCTACCAGGGAGAGTTACCCCTCCTGTTTGTCAGTTACCACATGTTTCTGGGGACCAGCTCTTTCCACATCTCCCTCCCTTCTTCCTACTTTCTACGTGGCTTTTTCTGTAAATCATTGGTTATAGTTATATTTCAGTGCAGCTAGCCTACAGTTTTTATTCAGATTGATTGCTGTATAATTTATATGTAAATTTGGTTTTGTGCCAGGAACAGGTGAGTGTATCTGTCGCCTAATCTGCTGACATCTTTGAATCTAATTTTTTTCAATAGATGAGAAACGTAGCAAATATTGTATCACTTTTTCTTTAAAAAAACTTTCTTTTCTTGTAATCTCAAATAGTGTTTTTTGCTAAATTTTAGTATCCAGATCACCTTCCTCCAACTAAAATAGCTCTTCCTTTTTTCCTTTTATTTTTCTTCTCAAAATTTGGGCTGAGATATTAATATGGAGGTAGGTTTTTCATAATAGACCTGGACTTAATCACTATACAGTCCTCTGATTACATAAATATTTAATCGTACTTCAAGATCTATTCTTTTGGGTAAGCTGACCTGACTTACCCATTTGTAGTCTCTTCAAAATACTGAGATGCCAGAAAGAACTGAAAACATAAAGGGTTCAGATCTCAGCAGCATAAGCACTTAAATATGTATTTAATTTGTTAAACATGTATAGCATTCTGTTTTGATAAAAATTGGTGTGTAGTAGCTGAATCATTCAGTAACTTATATACTGACTTTATGAGGACCATATCCTCAAGAACTTATTATATTTAGGATCATGTGTTTTAATATATATGTCCGCATACACAGTTGTTATCATTTTGAGGATATAAATTTAATTTGATTTGGCATCTTGATTTCTGGAGATCACCAGGAGATAAAAATAGTTACAAGGGGTTTCTATCTATGGCAGTATTAAAATGGTTACTTGGGTACTCTGAAGAGAAGGTACTGAGACTGATCTATTCATGGTACAGTGCAATTACAACTAGCACCAAATCTAACACTGTTTAACTTTCCACATAATAGTTTGATTTGTCTTGATCCAGGATTCTCAGAGAGCAGGTGCATTGAAATTATTGGAAAACACTGACTTGAAATTAGGATAGATATTTAAAACTTATGTGCAGGAAGTACTCTGGCATATTCAATAGGTTACTGAGAAGCCTGGCAAAACAAATCCAGGAAAAGAATTAGTAAGTGCCAATTATATAAATAACAAGAAGATTTTGTTAGATATTAACCAGTAAGATTCATTGGTGTTGAACGAAAAATGTGTCAAACATACTGCAACATTAACAGTTCAATAATATGAGGAAATCAGAGAAACAGCTAAAAGTTTTAAAGCTAAACAAAAGATTGACAAATTGCCCCTGAATCTAGTGTCATCCCAACATAAAAACGGAGTGTTCCCAAAATCAGTATTTGCTTTTTAAGGAAAGGGAACATGTCATTTATCCTAGTCATTGAAACTCTGGCCAGTGATAAAGGGGCCTGAACCTCAAAGCACTTTTTATCAAAAATTCTTGATATGACTTTAGAGAAAATCACTTCTTCCTATTGAAATTTCCTTCTCTTTCCTCCATACTGCACCTATACAAGGTATATTCAGATTGGTTATATAAAGCTTTACTGTTGCATTTGAATAATCATGACATATGGTAAATGTATTTGTACAACATGGGCTGACTCAGAAATGAAAATGTACGTGTGAAATTTCCCAAGGTTTTTAAATTAAGAATTGATCTAGAAATTAGCCAAATTAACTAAATCCATTTGTTGTCGATGTGGACACCAACCTGCAGCATCCAAGTCATTATGGATGAAATGAGACATTCACACGGACTACCCAGTCAGGTGGAGGAAAAGGGACAGCATGGATTTTCTATCAAGGGGAGCAAAAAGCCACGGCCCTTGCGGTGTCTGGCCTTTATTGGGTTTCTCAGCACATTGCATGATGGTCCCATTTACTATGTACAGGTTGCTTTAGGTGGTTGCCTTTTACAGAAAACAAAGGAGAGGATGCTGGTAATCACATCACAGAAGAGGGATATTTGCAAATGAAAAAGCAAAAGTGGTTGAACCAGTTACACTGGTCCTTGGAAGGTTTAGCATGGTTTTTAGGAAGTTACTTTGCAATAAATGTTTGCCACTGGGGGCTGGGCCCATGCCACACAGAATGGTCTCTTGCATGTTGTTAGATCAACTAAGTAATTTATTCATTTATCTGCATTCCTCCCTCCTTCTCTACCTGCCTTCCTACCACTGTTCCTCCTGTACATTTATGTATCCATCCATCTGTCCATCTATCGATCTACCTATCCACCTTTCCATCTCACTGTCCCTCTGTCAATCCAAACAAGTATTTATTGGGCATTTTATGTGCTCACTTTATGTGCACCAGCCATTGTTTCAGGTGCCAAGCAGTAAGGGGAAACAAGGTATACTGCTGTGCCCCTGAAGAATTTATATTTTAGGGGTTAACATAAGCAAAAAATAACTTATATGTAATCAATAAGTTATTTTTTTTATTAAAGATGGTTGTATGCTCTAAAGCAACTGTCCCCAACTTTTTTGCATCAGGGACTAGTTTTGTGGAAGATTATTTTTTCATGGACCAAGGTTGGGGGTTCTCTATGATTCAAATGCATTACTTTCAAGGTCAGGTCCTGCTATGTGGCCTGGTTCCTAAGAGGCTTGGATGGGTACCAGTCCATGGCTTGGAGGTTAGGCCCCTGCTCTAAAGCATTTATTGTGTTTATGAACTGATTCTGGTTTACAAACTGTTACTGGTCTGTGACAAGTATAGAAATTTAGAATAAGCATTTAGAAATTCATTTTTATTATCTGTTTCTTAAAGTACTTATTTGCAGTGGATTAGAAAGTAAAACACAAAACAAAATGTAACTGTCCTTTACCACAAATAGTGTGAAAGTCACTACAAGACCATTTGCTCAGGTCTACTATAACAAAGGCTAAATAATTTTTAAAAATAGGAATAATATAACAGGAAGAAAATGAACATTTATTCAGTGTCTCTAAATGTTAGGTACTTTATTCATTAAATAACTGCAGAAATGTTCGATCTCACTCAAATCACCTTCATCTAACTGCTGAATCTGAGTCGACCTCCGAACAGAGTTTGCCTCTAAGTCTCCTGCACCTGCTCTTGCCTTGCTATGCATGGTGCTCTCACTTCCATACTATGCTCTAATTAATAGTCTTTAGGTGACGAGAATAGTTTTTTTCTTTTCTTTAATATGTTTTTGCTTCCCAATATGTCTTTCTTTCCTTGTTAGTCAGGATGGATGTGAGAATTTGATTTGACAACTGTCCAGTTGCGTATCTGTGAGGAGTAACAAGCCCAACCTGTATTCTCTGGGAATGTATTAGCTCACTAAACTTAGTCTTGTTTATTGTCAGGCCTGAACCTGATGCTTGCTTATTTATAAAGGACAGTATTTAAGTATTAGGATTATTTCAGATTTGTTAATTTTCAAGTTCATATTTATGTTTGTAACTAGAACAAGCTATAGGTCTCTGCTTTTGGCTTGAGCCCACCTTTCTAAACGATGCACATTAAGACACCATATCTTTGTTTTTCCTTGATACAAAATGGGCAATTTCAACCTTTTTGTTATTACTTAAGGTCAGTGACAAATGAAGCCAGCATCAGGGATCTAATTTCTTAGGGCCAGTTTCTGTATCCTGTTCCCTATCAAAATTGGTCAGAACTGGGAGCACACAAAGAGGTTTGAATAAATAAGTGAAAATCTTTCCCTGGTGGTGATTAAAAATTGAACAGTTCTAGTGTTTTTTTTATTGAACTACAATACCAGATTACATTTATGGTAGGCTGTCTGTATGTCACAAGAGTAATGCCATCACTCTCATATTCTAGGTGGGCCTCTTGGGAAGAACTGGGTCAGGAAAGAGTACTTTATTATCAGCTCTTTTGAGACTGCTGAACACCGAAGGAGAAATCCAAATAGATGGTGTGTCTTGGGATTCAGTGACTTTGCAACAGTGGAGGAAAGCCTTTGGAGTTATACCACAGGTAAGCTGGAAAGACTTCACTAGGGGGAAAAGCAACTAAATACAATTTTACTGTTATATGATGCTTACACTCAAGAAATTCACATTTTCCTGAAATATAAGTTCATTACATATTCATTACATGTCCATTTTATGCAATGGAATCTTTTAATTAGGAGAAAAACTATCTCTAAAAGTTTAGAATTCTCTGACATCCTGTTATTGAAATATTAATAGTTTTGATAGCCTGTCCCAGAAGACACAATCTATAGTGAGAACATGGGGCTTTTGTTTTCATCAGTTTATTTTTTCCTGCTTCAGTGGTTTGAGTTCCAAGTTAGCAATCACAGCAGGTTAAGAAATACTTTGCAATTTATAAAAGATGCTTTTGAAATAACAAACACTTGGAAGCATGAGGTAGTGGAATAGAAAATTTAAAGTGTAATGATTGCTTTTTTGTTTTTTACATAAGAATGAATCATGTCAGATTAATCTGTAGCTTTTTAAAAACGTCAGTCCTTGATTTGTGTCACAGAAGATCACTAGCTTCATGGGCTTAATATGGTTTTGTGTTATTATGTAAGAGGGCTGCTTATATGTGAGAAAATAGCCACAGTTCCATTGTTAAATGATCCAAATGGAAACCAGTGAATGTCTTTAATCTGAAAGGCATGAGCTATATATATCTGCTAGTGTTTGCTCTCATCTCTATGGATGTAGTTACTGTTTTAATAATCATTTTGTCCTCTTTGTTCTAAAGGGCACTAAATCCATTCTACTACCATGGTACTTACAATTATCTACTTTTAACAGAAAAGTAAAATGTTAAGAGCATCTCCCAGTAGATTGACTATAAATCTAGCCTAAGAAAAAGCTTTATTTTTTGATGGATCACCTTTGTGAACATTTGCTCCTTTCAACTAATGAGGCAATAAATATTGTGACTGCCAAACCGATGCTTTTAATTCATTTGTCTAGACTTTGCTGTGTTGCCACTTAATCCTGGTTGAACTTTGAAAAATAATATTGTTTCTTCAGAAAGAAAAAAGGATTGTCAGATGGTTTAAAGATAAACTCTAGGACTACTGGTATCCCAAGGTAATATCGTTAGGCAAAATGACAAAGTTGAAGAACACAGAATAGAATCTGGTTATCTCAGAACAGTTACTGTTCAGTGGACTCTAAATTTTCTGATCCCCTTTTTAAACTACAATTATGAAGCTTTTGTCTCCTTGTTGTTATTCACAAAAACCTGCCCATTAGGATAAGCAAAGTTCTAAATAAATAATTTCTTTTTCACCTGGAATGCTTTAGTTTATCTTCCATGTGATACAGAAGTTTGTTTTATCCTGTGTTCTATTTAGAAACCCAAATATGCAAGGCCTGGAGGAAAACCGAATGGGCCAGAGTTATGAAAATTCTTTATTTTACCTTTCTGACAAAAATGAGTCTCAAACTTCTCTTTATTTCATCTTCTCTCTTCTATGCCTTCAAGCTTTTTATAAAGTAAGCAAGAAATACTTTAAGATATGCCTTTAAAAATGTGTGATCATGATAACAGAAATGCTTCTCATTGTACATGTTTATGACCCTGGTTTCTGGGACTGTCTCCGAGAGCCACAAGTGGATACCCAAGAAAAAGAGAAAGAGGACAAACTCTTTATAACATCCAAATCAAGAGATGCTTTTACTGAAAATTCAAATTATTTAATTTTACCTTCCCAGGAGTTTGACCTTAAAGAAGAAATAGAAGGAAAAAGGAATTAAAAACTCTATGAGAACTTTTTTTTGCTTTTCTTTTTCTCCCTTTCATTTTTCTGACCTTGCAAGAGCTTAGTTCCCCCAAGATCTCTGACACTGAGACATCAGAGATCTCTGGGTCAATTAGATGCTTGTTTTCAGACACAGGAAACAGAAATTTTAAACAAGAAACTTTCCCTCTCTGTCAGTGATCCTGAGATACCAGCCAGAGTCACAAGATGTTAGTTTTGGCAAGTTCTTACAGTATTGTTTTGTTTTGTTTTGTTCTCTGTACTTCCCTCCTATAGCTAGAATATAATCTTGGAGAATGCACCAGCCTTGGAAACAAGTCATTGTGTACGTTTCAAGGTGGAGTCTTTCTTAATTTGTTCTACTTTACCTATGAGCTCTAAGGGCCTAAAGAGGAGACAGTGAGGCCTAGAGTCAGAACCCCATTGGCTTAGGCAATTTGAACACTGAGACTTAAAATTGTTTATTAGCCTTGAAATTTGTTAAGCACTTAATTCATAAAAAACAGAAAAATAATTTTAAATGTATTTTCAAATTTTCAATTACAAGTGTAAAAGGCTACAACGCTATTCTGAGGCAATGACTAGGCCTATTTTTGCAGAGAGACTTTCTGATCTGAAACTAATCCATGCCCACATATGACTTTGACCACAGAGCTGGAATGTCTTTTGCTGTAAGGGATACTAAAAAAGTCCGACTCATGTATCTGTAGACATGAACAATGAAATTGGGAGTGCAACAGTTCTCATTCAGTTTAACAATAATTCACTTTAATAATTAGTTATTAAACTCCTTCTGTGTGCTTAAATAAGTACTATAGATTCAATAGTTATGTTAGTGGTATTGAGCTCCCTGTCCAACCTATTAGCTTCCAATGAGAGGTTAAAATTACATTCATTGCCATAATTCAGGGATCAAAAGAAGAAACAAAAAGGATAAATTAAACATATGTAAATAAGTGTAGTCATGGGTCGAGGCACTGGCTAGTCAGGGAAGTGCTGTGGGTGATTCTGGGGGAATCCGGCCCCACCATGTCACTGTAGCCTTCCTTTCTTTTCTGCTTCCACTGCTGTGTTTTTCTCTTCATCTTCTTTGCATCCCTCCATTATATGTTGTACGCAAATTAAACTTTTTAAGGCAACATTCCAATTTTGTAATTTGCCTCTTGGGAACTCGTTTTGCTGAATAGATCCAGATTCTTCCACTTGTGGTTGGGTCCCTGATAGGTCACAACTCAACCTTTCCAGAAAGATCCACCACTCTTTTCACCTGGGTACTTTTATAATTCAGTACAACTCTGCCATGAAAGATACCACACTTTGGTCTCTCATTTTCTCTGTTCATGCACTTTCTCTGTCTGAGAAAAATCTTCCTTCACCATAGTCACTTTGTCATCACAAATGTTAAACTCTGCCAGGTAGTCTTTTCTGACCCACTTTAGTACCCCCATTAACCCTGACTCTAACCCCAATGCTCCACTCCCACACCTCAGTCCCCGATGGGATCTATAACTGTGCTTATAAACCTCTCCTGGCACTTCTCTATGCCTTATCTTAGAATTATCTGTGTATTTATTTAATTTTCACTCAGTATTGTAAATACTTTGCAGACACTTTAGTTAAAGAAGCAGAATTTAAACACAAAATGACCATCAACCAGAGAAGGCTGGCAGAAATGCTAAATAAGGCCAACTTATGTATCTGTAGACATGAACAATGAAGTTGGAAGCACATAGATTTTTTTACCTTAGTAATTTTTCTATCTCTTAATATAGCATATAAAACAATAGCTTTTATTGTAGGAATTCAATATATGTCGTTTTGTGCTGAGTCACTAAATGCTTATCTCTTTTACAAGAAACCAGGTCTACTTGTATCCAGATTTTACTAGCTGTATAATCTTAGGCAAGTTATTTAATTTCTCTGAGCCTTAGTTTCCTTGTCTATAAAATGGGTATACTGGTAGTAACTCCTTAATTGGGCTTTTGTGTGGATTAAATAAGTAATCAGTAATATACTTAGTCTACTCCCTGGCATGTAGTAACTACAATACAATGGGTTGTGGTTGTTATCATTTATAGTTCCTTAAGGACAAGTCATCATGTCCTCCTTATCTTTGTATTGAATTGGAGGTGGATGCTATAGGAATGAACAAATAGGTATGGATAGTTTCGCAAAGAAGGTGATAATTAAAGTGGTCCATAAAGTTTGTAGGTTTTAGAGAGGCTTGGGGCAGGGAGTTGTGGAAAGGATATTCCAGGACTTCAGGCAGGAATATTATGAGCAAGTACAGAGATAGGAACTAGAATAAGTTGGGAAGCAAAGGAAAGAGAATGCCCTGTGTTAGTATTTGGAGAAAGAGGGAAAGACTTGACAAGTGAGGAATGGGTTGACTCTTTTGAGCTAGCAAGAGGTGGCAAAATGGTAGTAGAATGGGGACAATGCTGGCAGCATGAGGACAATAGACTTCAGGTGGGCAGAATTAAGAGCAGGCAGATGGGTGGGAACTGCACTGTGGTAAAAGTAATGAAGAGGACAATGGGAGTGGATTCCTGAATTCAAAGGAAAGGAAAAAAATAACTAGTATGGTTATCAGTATAATGCAATATTAGTATTTCTGAGCCTAAAAACTTAGCATCTTTGATAATTTGGTCAGACCTAGAAAACATTTTTTATGCTATCTCTGAAAAAGTATATACTAAAAAGTTGTCTTATAAAAGGTTTTAAAGCATTAAATGACTTCACAGGAAATAATTTGAACATCTTACATGTAATCATTTATAAACAAATAAATAGTATGCACATTAACCTTATAAAATGATTCTCTATTTGTTATAAACCTTCAATGTTTTTGACTAACAAATATTTTATTCACCTTGTTCTCATTAACAGGTATTTTTAAAAGCAAAACAATACTCATTTTTAAACATTCTATAATCAGTCTTACATTCTTGATTTGTTCAAACTGGATGGATTTCTATTTTACAGATGCAACTTATAAAGTTTTGCAGACATTTCCAAAAGACAAGATCACAGTAACTGTGATCACAGTACTTATAAGCATTTGGGCCACATTTTAATAGAACTAAACATGATATAAACATATGCATATTAATTATACATATTAATGTGTATGTGTGTTTTTAGTTGTATGGAAAATAATACAGTAATTAATAAATAATAATACAAAAATAAACTGTGTTTTCCATACTCAGAACTGTAAACCTACTCTTGTCCCACCTGGTATAAATTCTGAGTCAAAACAAAAAAGCACTTAATCCTTAAGGATAGGAGTCATTTCTCTGACTAATTTAATTTATTCTACATTTAGTTATCACAGAATCCAAATTGTTGTTTTTGTTTTTTCCTTGATATCTAAAGGCTAAAGCAAACCGTGTACTGCAGTGATATATAAACAGCTCTGGGCACTCCTGAGCACTCCATGTAGACTTGGCGGTCTCAAGTCAGCTTCAGGAAGGAGATTAGTCCAGAAATGAACAATGGTGCTCTCTTTATTTTTCCTTGAGTCTCTAAAATTGCTCTTTATACTATACATACATGACCTTAAATATCAAATATTTGCACATCGTAGTTTTGCTATTTAGTAAACAGTCTCTTAAAAGATGGTCATCATGATTTATAGTTTCAGATGTGTGTGTGTGTGTGTGTGTGTGTGTGTGTGTGTTTTGCTATACAGTCAGTCTGACTGTGTTACCTAACTTCTCAGGGCCTTAGCTATTTATTTTGTAAGCCAGGAAAAAGAATGTAGGTAACCTTCAAACACATCTCAGCTTAACATATGAGTTTGTGAAAAATTCAAACAGTTTAGACAACTACTGGCACCCATGAAAGCAAGAGACTGCCAGATATTATTTGTAAGACAGAAATAGAATGGGTAGTTTAATGGTTTGAAATTGATACTTAATTGAACAAGTTAATTCAGTTAGTTTTTCTATAAAATTAAAGCATTGCCCTGACCGGTGTGGCTCAGTTGGTCAGGCATCATTCTGCAAAGCAAAAGGTTACAGGTTTAATACCTGGTGAGGGTACGTGCCTAGGTTGCAGGTTTAGTCCCCGGTTGAGGCGCATGTGAGAGGCAACCAATGAATATTTCTCTCACATTAATGTTTCATTCCATCTCTTTCTCCCTTCTGTTCCACCTCACTAAAACTAAAATAAATAAAATCTTTTAAAAAATAAATGAAATAAAATTAAAGCATTATTTTAATGCTAAAAGATAAACTGTAAACAAAAGGCCTACAGAGTTTCTGAATGGTATTAAATATATCTAAAAAATTTGGATGTCTAATTTCACCAAACAGCCTTCTTACTTCATAGTTTTGAATATATGCCTATTTGAAATAAAATTAATTATATGTTTATATATAACTATACATTTGATAAATATTATATATGTTATTAGGCCATTAGAAAAAGTTAGGTGTACTATTTCCCAAGCAATTATATAGAGAGATAAAAAAATTAATGGGTTGTTAGCATTATTTCTTTAAACACTGTGGGTTATAGTAGTTATTCTTACCAAAGGAATAAAAATAATACACACTTAACTCTACATTTTCATATTTTTATTTTTTATCTTCACATCAGCCCATGTATTCAATCAGAAAACATTTATTGAACTTTTACTATGTACAAAACCTATGAGTTAATGATACAGTACACAGCAAAGTTATGGTGTGGAAGAGATGAACATTATAAAAATGCTCACAAATGCATATGCAATTTTAATATTTACTATAAGCTGTGACAGTAAAGCACTGTTATTATATTGAGAGATCTTATTTGATTTTGAGGATTTGAAAGTTGCCAATTAGAGGAAGTGACATCCACTCTGAGACTTAAAAGATGTAGTTGGCCATGGGAAGACTGTAAGGGACGAGATTCCAAGACAGGGAGAATAGAATGTGTGAATAAAGAGAGGAAGAAAAAGAAAGCTATGTAGCTGGAATGCAAAGGGGAAGGGGTAGAGAAGGGCACTAAATGAGCCAGAAGGAGTGGAAGGGGCTAAATCATGTAGCATTTGTCAACCAATTTAAGTATCTTACATTTTTCCTGAGTGCAATGGAAAGCCACTGAAGATTTTTCAAAAGGTTAATAACGTAATCCAATTTATACTTGTAGTGATTGCTTTGGTTGCTAAGTTAGAGTGGACTGGAAAAGAGGCCAGAATGAAGTAGAAAGGTCAATTAGAAGATTTGCAGTGTTCCAAAAAGAGCTGTTGATATCTTGAACTATGTGATAGCAGTAGAGATAGAAGACAAATGGATTTGAGATATATTTTGGGAAAACAAGTCACAGGACTGATGATTGAGTCCTGTGGGGGCGACTACTTTGGGAGGATTAGGAAGGAAGGTAAGTCATGAATTACTCCCAAGTTTCTTGAGGAAGTGAAGGAGCCATATATTGAAATTGAAAGCCTACAAGTATAGTGGATTTGAGGAGAAAGACAGCATTTCCCAATTTACAGTGAGAGCACTAATGCTCAGAGAGCTTGGGTTTTAATTTCCAGATATATCTATCAGGTCAGAGCTATATTACTATACCATATTCGCAAACCACATTACCTTTAATAACTTCTGTGTCTGCTTCGATGTTATAATACTTTGGCCTCCACACACAGTTATCCAGAATAATGGCAATATTCTCTTTGCACAAAAAATTTCTATTGTGCTGTTCCATTGGATGTGTGAGTCTAAACTTACAAAGACATTAGCCCATAGAGAACCCTTCAACTCAGGTTCTGCATGGGAAGAGGAAGCTAACCTCTCCATTGAGAGTACAGGACCTAAGCTGTGTGGCCAGGTGGATAGATAGTAGTGCTTTCATCAAAGCTAGGCTAAGTGAAATAAGCCAGGTTGTCAAAGACAAATACCATATGATCTCACATTTAACAGGAACCTAAACAACAAAACAATCAAACAAGCAAAATATAACCAAAGACACTGACATAGAGAACAGGCAGACATTGTCCAGAGGGGAGAGGGAAGGGAACTTCAGGGGAAAAGCAGAAGGGTTTATAGGAGCAAGTATAAGAGACACATGGACAAAAACTAGGGGGCGTGGAAATGGGAGGGACGGGGAAGGGTTGGGTGGGTGGGCTGGGATGGGAGTAAAAGACAGAAAACTGTACTTGAACAACAATTAAATTTTTTTTAATTTAAAAAAGAGTGGGCTACTCACCGCTGTTGGGATCTTTATGAATCCATAGGACTATTCTGCCCAACCTTTAGTCTATCGTGACCTCCAGATCAGGGGAAAATTGGTAGGACTTGAGGCATTGTGTGATAATGGTGAGGAACACAGGCTTGAAGGCAAACATCCCTGGGTTCTGTTAGCTAAATGATCTTGGAAGAGTCACTCAAATTTTCCCTGCTATGACTTCTTCATGTACAATAATAGGCTCTATTTCATAAATTAGATATGAAGATGAGGAGATACCACACATAAAGAACCTAACCTGACACCATAAGCCAGAACTCTGTGTTTCAGCCACTTAGTTCTCAATGGAAGTAACTTCTGAAGGTGCAAAATATGTTGTCTGATGCTTGCTAAACCCTCACAGTTATTTCCCCTCTCTCTCAATAATGCTAGAAAACTTTGATATAATGAACCACAACATTAAAAGAAAAATGTAAAAACTAGTAAATGGAAAAATTCCACTGGCAAGTGTTTGAACTTTAGGTACTAAATAAACCCAATTTAATAAATTAACTGAAGTTCTTAGAGCCACTTCTACTTTAATTCTCTTTAGTTTTTCAGAATTCTCTGATAATTTCTTTTTGTCTGGACATTTCTTTCGTTTACTTGGAAGCTTGAGGAGGATGCACAGATATATCTATCACATATCTCATGATATGATGAGTCACCTAGTCAACTCTTCTTATCCACCTCTGTAAAGCAATGTATGCATCCCTTAGGAAGTATTTCAGTGCACGTTAAGTAAAAACAGTTAAGACTTCTTATTGGGGCCCCAGAGGGTTTCTGAGATACTTGGCAATACCTTTGTCCTTCAAGTGTAAATTATGTATTGGGGAATGTGGTCCCTAATGCCTCATGTTCTGTCTGAGAGGCACAGACACCGTTAGTCTGGAGACATCTTGCCTTGTGCAATTTATTATAGATCAGATTTGCATTGACCATTCTCTCTCAGTCTAAGGCAATTTGTGAAGACCAAGCCTTCAAAAAATTCAGTTTTTAATTCTCCTTACTGCTTGTTAGTAACCAAAGGCAAAGCATAAAATACTCTGAATATTAACCTCAAAAATATATTTTCAGTTCACCCATAGGCACAAAGAGAGAACTAATTATTATTATTATATCAACACTTCCCAGCAATAGCAGATTTCTTTCAAAACATTATTTAATCATATCATATAGGTCAACTGAAGTAGACAGTGATGTGGCAAGTAGAGTGTCTCGGGGTGATAGCTGAGCAGTGTTCCTTACAGGGAATTCAGTTGTCATTGTGTCACTTCAGCAGAATCAGTCTCATCTGCCTCCCTTCCCTCTGTAACATGCATTCAGTTAAACAAATATTTTATTTCTGCCCTTTCACTGATTTCTAATTCCCCTGAACCTGTCTGGTTTTGGAAGTAGATGCATTTCTTGGTTTATATTCCAGATAAACACATGTTTATCTGGAATATAAATAAGTGTCCATAATTAAACTTCAAAATCCCTTAAAAAGCTAGGTTTATTAAAGAAATTCAAGGAAAATACATTAATACAAAATAAAAATTTGTTTAAACCATTGTAACTCATAATCTTAAATTTTTTAATTATTTAATTTAACATTACATTTGTTTATAATAAAGAATATTTCTAAGAATAAAAAATTTAACATCCTATAATTTACAGTAACCTTAATTTCTTTGTCTTAAAAATACTGTGACTAGAACCATGTTCATAAGGGGCTTCAAATGTAGCTATATTTTGTTTCTTAAAAAATATACAAAGCAAATATAAAATTTTAAAAATTTAAGAAAACTAGATTTTAAGAACATGGGAGGGTATTACATTTTAAAATAAATTTTCTGTTTGAAATATTTTACAATAAAATGTGGAAGAAATTAATATATATTTAGATTATTCATGCTTTCCTCTTCTTTACCTTATTGTTATAGAAAGTATTTATCTTCTCTGGAACATTTAGAAAAAATTTGGATCCCTATGAACAGTGGAATGATGAAGAAATATGGAAAGTTGCAGATGAGGTAAGGATATTAACTGAAATATTTTTTTGATAAAGGTAACATACATACACAAGAGCAGTTGTCATAGCTAAGATAATTTTACACACCTGTGCATACATGTGTGTGCACACAAATTTAAATCGAAGAAATCTAACACATCTAGAGCATCCATACGGGACTTTGGATTAGACTTCCCCCTCTCCTCAGTGTTTAGTTTCCATCTAGGCCCCAAAATAGCATTCCTTTGGCCATCTTCCTCACCAGTGTGGATCAATGAGACATGAACTGGGAGAGACCCAGACATCCACAGCACACCAGGATTATTCCTGATACAAAGAATCATTTCTCTGCACCTTCCCCATCTGGGTTTTGAAGTGTCCCTAGAATAAGGAGGAGGCTTTGCTTTGACATGATATATTTCTCTTGGAAGCATGGCTTTCAACACAGAAGGGTGATGATTGTTGTAGAGCACCTGAGATGACTATAGTCTTCTCTGGAAGCCACCAGGAGTCAACTGTCTTTGGGAATGTGTTGTCTATGAGTACTTCTAGGTGTGATGCCAATGACCTATAGATATGGTATTCTCTATTTCTTGAGGTCATTAAAGCACCATATAGGACACATATGGATTAAAATTAAATCATAGTTTCTAATAGTACCCTGTATTTACCCAATAAGTGGTTAATTATAATTGAAAGTATTATACACAGGAATTTGGGGTCAGGTGAGAGAGGTAGAGTAAAATGCTTGGTTCTTTAACAGAACACCCAACAGTAAGTAAACTGACAATTATTGAAATTTAGGCATCATGTTAAGGTAAGGTGAGGGAGAACATAAATTCTCTATCTTATTAAACTTGAGGTTTAAATTCAAAGCTCTTTTTGGTGACAGACTACAATTATGGGACCAAAGGATATTGAGATCAAAGGTCTTCTTAGGTAACAATATTATTTCACTATTTCTGCATTTTTCCTTGTAGTGCAGTTCTGTTTATCCCAAACGCTCTTTCATTTTCTGCCTTCATTCAGAGTGGATCTTGCCAAGAGCTTTGAAATGTCTGTGAATGTTAAACACTTACCCATTGAGTGCCCAACATTAACATGCCCCTAAATACACTTAGATTAACCATTTTCAGTATCAAAGTTTTCTTATTACCCAACAAATGAGGGCTTTTTAAGAAAACATTAACTAAATTTCAAATGACATATTTTAAGATCTTTGATGTGACTTCTGAGAATGAACTATAGAGACACAATGTGGTGGGAGAAAAACTGGGAAGAAAGACATTAGACCATATAAAATTTGCAAATATTGCCAAGTCACGATAAAATTTACAGAAAATCAGCATTATTATCTAAAATTTTAGAAAACATGATTAAGATTTTAAATAGTAATAAATGCAAAACTTTTACCTGTATCGATTTTTATTTGGTCAAATTGTATTGAGATATTATGTTTGTACTGATCCTCTTTTAAATAATATGCTATTTTAAAATGGAGAGATTGATGCTGTCCTTACATTAATGCCATATACTTTGAGCAGTGGTGATAATTTTTTTCTGCAGAGACCTGAAAATAACATACAAACAAATAAGCTACAGCCAAGAGAACCAGAAGGGGCATTGTTTTGAAAGTTATAGGGCTTGGAGTTTAAGTCTTATAACTTATCCAAACAGGAATATTGAGGGGGTGGGTGTCAGTTTCTAAACTGGACAGGATACTGGAAAAAAAGTATAAACCATAATGATCCAGGACAAAGCAGTTTATATGCTGCTTTGTCTCTGTGTCCCAGTTGTCTCTGTGACCTTGATATGACTTATGTCTCTCAAGGGAAATAAAGTGAGTACTGACAGATAGACAAACTCCTGAATCTTACTCATCTAACAGTAGTACCTCATTCATAATTCCCCTTTTCCCAGATGAAAATCACAAGCACATGCAATGACAACACCAGTCCAAGAAACACTTTATTCCTAGCTTGGATCTGGACCCAAACTCCTGTGTGAACCTTATCCTTGATCTAGACTAGATTGTGTGAAGCCATGAGGATCATACTTAGTTAGTAACCCTAAGGTTTGGAAACAAAACTGATACAAACAGTTCCCTGTCCCTTTGTGGTCTGTGTCCACACCTTCATCTTAACACTCTGTGAAGTGAGATGGTCTTATTTCCACATCCCAAAACAAATCAGGGACAGAGAGCTTCTCCCCGGAATCACTGACTTTACCAGCTGTATAAACAAAGAGAATCTCAAAACAGACTGAAACCTAAGGAGTAAAAAGACCCTTAGCTTTATAAATTGATACAAATTCATTGGCCTAGTAAATTGATAGTACTCTTTGAACTTTTAAAATATTTTTTAATTTTTAAATTATAGTTGCCATAATATATTAGTTTCATATGTCTAAGATAGTGATTAGACATATATATATCTTATGAAGTGATCATCATGATAAATCTAGTACCCATATGACACCATACATAGTTATTACAGTGTTATTGACTACATTTCCTATGCTGTACTTTACATCTGCATGACTATTATGTAACTAACTACACTTTTTTTTTAAACATATGTAATATTTATTATCAAAGTATGTTTTATAAAACATATATATGTTTTATGTTTTATTTGGCCTATACAGTTAACATATAAAACATATGTTTTATAAGCATATAAAAGTTTATTTTCAAACTATGAGAAGTAAGTTTTTCTTTTTTTTTTTTTTTTTAATTTTAATTTTATTTAGTTATTTTTCAAGTACAGTTTTTTGTCTATTTTTCCCATCCCAGCCTCCCCCGCCCCTTGCTCCCCACCTCCCTCCCATTTCCACCCCCCCCCCTTAGTTCTCGTCCCTGTGTCCTTCCTATTTGTTCCTCCAAATCCCTCCCCCCTTTTTCCCCTTAACTTCCCTTCCTTCTCCCCTCTGGTCACTATCCCCTTGTTCTCTATTTCAGTGTCTTTGTTTTTTGGGTTTTTTTTTTTTCTGCTTGCTTGTTTGTTTTGTTGTTTAGCTTCCTGTTAAAGGTGAGATCATATGGTATTTGTCTTTCAGCACCTGGCCTATTTCACTCAGCATAATGCTTTCCAGTTCCATCCATGTTGTTGCAAAGGGTAGTAGCTCCTTCTTTCTCTCTGCTGCATAGAATTCCATTGTGTATATGTACCACAATTTTTGTATCCATTCATTTACTGATGGGCACCTAAGTTGCTTCCAACTCTTGGCTATTGTAAATTGTGCTGCTATGAACATTGTGGTGCATAGGTTCTTTGAAATTGATGTTTTAGGATTCTTAGGATATAATCCCAGCAGTGGAATTGCTGGGTCAAAAGGCAGGTCGATTTTTATTTTTCTGAGAAAAATCCATACTGTTTTCCATAATGGTTGTACCAGTCTGCACTCCCACCAACAGTGAACTAAGGACCCCTTTTCCCCACAACCCCTCCAACATTTGTTGTTTGTTACTTTGTTTATGATAGCCATCCTGACTGGTGTAAAGTGGTATCTCATTGTGGTTTTAATTTGCATCTCTCTGATAGCTAATGATATTGAGCATCTCTTCATGTGTCTCTGAATGTTCTGTATGTCCTCCTTGGAGAAGTGTTTGTTCAAGTCCTTTTCCCATTTTCTAATTGGGTTGGGTGTCTTCTTAGAGTGGAGTCGTGTAAGTTCTTTGTATATTTTAGAGATTAAACCTTTGTCTGAGGTATCATTGGCAAATATGTTTTCCCATACAGTTGGTTGTCTTGCTAATTTAATACTGTTTTCTTTAGCCATGCAGAAGCTTTTTATTTTGATGAGATCCCATTTGTTTATTCTTTCCTTTACATTCCTTGCTCTAGGGGACATATCAGTAAAGAAGTTGCTGCGTGAAATATCTGAGATTTTCTTGCCAATGTTCTCCTCTAGGACTTTAATGGTGTTATGACTTACATTTAAGTCTTTTATCCACCTTGAATTTATTTTGGTGTATGGTGTAAGTCTGTACTCAAGTTTCATTTTTTTGCATGTAGCTGTCCAGTTCTCCCAACACCATTTGTTGAAGAGGCTATCTTTACTCCATTTTATGTTACTGCCCCCTTTGTCGAATATTAATTGACTGTAGAGAGTTGGGTTGATTTCTGGGCTCTGTGTTCTGTTCCATTGGTCTATGTGCCTGTTTTTATGCCAGTACCAGGCTGTTTTGATTACAGTGGCCTTGTAATATAGTTTGATATCAGGTATTGTGATCCCCCCTACTTTGTTCTTCTTTCTCAAAAGAGCAGCTGCTATTCGGGCTCGTTTATGGTTCCATATAAATTTTCGAAGTGTTTGTTCTATGTCTGTGAAATATGCCATTGGTACTTTAATAGGTATTGCATTGAATCTGTATATTGCTTTGGGTAGTATGGACATTTTGATAATGTTAATTCTTCTGATCCATGAACAAGGTATATGTTTCCATTTGTTTGTGTCTTCCTTGATTTCGTTCTTCAGGGCTGTGTAGTTTTCTGCATACAGGTTTTTTACCTCCTTGGTTAGGTTTATTTCCAGATATTTTATTTTTCTTTTTGCTATATCAAATGGGATTTTTCTCTTTATTTCTGCTTCTGCTGATTCACTGTTGGTATACAAAAATGCCTTTGATTTCTGGATATTGACTTTATAACCCGCTGTTTTGCCAAACTCATCAATTAGTTTGAGGAGTTTTTGGGTAGAGTCTATAGGATTTTCCATGTACACTATCATGTCATCTGCAAACAGTGACAGTTTTGCTTCCTCCTTTCCTATTTGGATGCCTTTTATTTCCTTTTCTTGCCTGATCACTGTGGCTAAAACTTCCAATACTATATTGAATAGAAGTGGTGAAAGTGGACAACCTTGTCTTGTTCCTGATCTTAGTGGAAAAGCTTTTAGTTTTTTCCCATTGAGTATGATATTGGCTGTAGGTCTCTCATATATGGCCTTTATTATTTTGAGAAATGCTCCTTGTATTCCCACTTTGCTGAGTGTTTTTATCATAAATGGGTGTTGTACCTT